TGGACACCAACGCTGCATTAGAGTATGGGAGCGGCGAGCGACGCAGTATCACGTTACGCCGAAGAACGCCTCTTCAAGCATTGACAGGCGCATGTTCATAATGATGCGCATTAACAAATGGCAATGTTCATTGTGTGGACTATCTGACGGCGCGAAGCAATGTTTACTAGCGATTGTCGGTTTTGGGGGTGGCGGGGGGGTTGTAGAGGTTTTCCCTGCTCGGTAGCTTGACCGTAACTGCCCCGGCATTTAAGCCACCTCAGGTCGCGCCCCAGGTCGCGCCCCAGGTCGCGCCCCAGGTCGCGCCCCAGGTCGCGCCCCAGGTCGTGCCACAGGTCGCACCACAGGTCGCGCCCTAGGTCGCGCCCGAGGTCGCGCCACAGGTCGCGCCCCAGGTCGCGCCCCAGGTCGCGCCACAGGTCGCGCCACAGGTCGCGCCCCAGGTCGCGCCCCAGGTCGCGCCCCAGGTCGTGCCACAGGTCGCACCACAGGTCGCGCCCTAGGTCGCGCCCGAGGTCGCGCCACAGGTCGCGCCCCAGGTCGCGCCCCAGGTCGCGCCACAGGTCGCGCCACAGGTCGCGCCCCAGGTCGCGCCCCAGGTCGCGCCACAGGTTGCGCCCCAGGTCGCGCCACAGGTCGCGCCCCAGGTCGCGCCCCAAGTCAGGGGAAGCGGAGCTCCCTGTAAGAGGGCACCACCTTGGAGCTAAAGGGGTCGTCAACCTGCGGCCCCGGAGCCGCGTGCGACCATTTAAGGGCCGCTGCTTTGTGATGTTATTGATGAAGGACCGTCGCCTCGTATTCACCACGATATTATTTTGGTTTCCGACCCCTGACCTAGCGAGACTGTGAGGTGGGCATCTTGAGACACATTGCTCACGGCTTCACGTGGAAGAACAGTGACCCGGGAATCCAAGAGCTGCCTGGAGCGCTAGAGAGACTCACCTCGAGAGACTGTGATGATTTTTGAGTCCGTGGCGAACGTTGTGAGAGCGTAGCTGCTGACTCCGCCTGGTGAAGACACACAAAGTGCGTGCCACGAATGAACCCACAGTACCTTGCTGATCTCGTCAAGGATGACATAAACCATCACGCGAACTCCGGTCATCCTCGCAGTGGCTTTTGGCTGGCCATCGGACAAAGACGATCGCCGCATCGCGCGCTTTCAGATGCGCTTCTGCGGCCGTCTGGAACGTTCTTCCTTACGGCATTAGTAAGCCACTGGACCTACGCACTTTTAAATCATCTCGATTAAAACACTAATTTCTTTAAAACTGCTTTTTGCCTTTAGTTTGTTGTCCTTCCCCACACCTCCGATTAGCACGGTCGGTTACGTACGGTGCGAAAGAAGTGCACCATGCGTAGAGACTGCGACCTGTCCCCCCGCGTCAGCCTCGCACTTCCCCTGAACTGCCTGCAGGGCCTCGACGTAGATTCACCATACCGACTCGCCCCCGGCTTGCTGCCTTGTCGTGTCCAGTGCACACACCTCATCGAGGGCAGGGCAGCAGCACAGAGTTTAACCGAGCAGAGACGTTATCGTCGATCAGTGTTCACATGTACAGCGATGCAGTGTTTTTGGCAGGGCGTTCATCGATACAGTGTTACAGAGTCAGTGACTCGAGATGCCTGGGAGTCTATCCCCGGTACAACGCAGATTTGCAAGCTTGCCACCTCTGCTCGGTTCGTGTCCGGAGCCTTCGAGCCTGGCGATCTTCTGTGTGACTCCACTCGGTCCAATGCTGAGATCTTGAAGTCTCGCAATTCTGCTGGGGTCAGTCCCTTGAACCCTGTGAGTGTGCAACCTCTGCTCCCTGCTCGGCCTGTTCCCGCGACCCGCGAGTCTGTGACCCGAGGCAGCCAGCCCTGCTTGGGCCTGTGTCTGAGACCTTTGTGAGCTTAGCCCCTCCCCTCCTGTCTTGATTTGAAGTTTTCGTGACTGCAGAAATCCCTACTCCTTGGTTCTTTCGGTAAAGTCACGTAGGTATACAAAATTTAAAATAATATATCACGACGTTTCGATTGCAACACAAGCAGTCATCCTCAGGCGGAAAAGAAAATCCAGCAGTGGAACTGCTGAACCAACGAGACAGCTGTTATAACAAGGTTATATATGTGGCGATGGGCAAGCAAGCAGGGTCTGAGCTGGAAAGGAATTCCATCCCCGGACGCAAGGACGTCAGTTGTGTTAATGGGGGAGATTAGGGAAAGGGCTTCCGTCGCCGCACAAGATTATCATCCCCGCATATGTGCACAACGGCAGTGTTAATGGGAGATTAGCACTATGTTGATGGGAGAGATTAGGCAGGGAGATTAGGGGGATTAGTAAGTTAATGTCATGTCTATGTGTGACACAAGCTCTCCTCCTGCTTTTGTGGCTCCGCACTGGGGTCTGGAATTGCATCGTTAGCTATTGCGCCTGGGGTTTCAACCCAACCAAGCACATTCCATTGCCATTAACGTTGACCTTATATGCTCGACTCGTGTGTGTTTCACTGTCCAGTAACCCCCCCCCCCCCCCCCCCCCCCAGAAACCCACGCATATTCTTTCTGACCCCCAGTTACTTGTTTTTGTTGGTTTGCCCAGACCATTGCCCGAGAATCGGTTGTATTTTGGCAGACCTGCGGTTCGAGACAAAAGCGAGTGAGCGGTTTGTTTGTGCAACTTGTGCCGTGGCCTATTAACATTGGACAGCGACAATTCAGGAGGTGAGGTTGAGAATAAATATCGAGAAAAGCAATCTGTGAATAGTGCTCCGTGTCTTGTTCACCGGAGGCTGTGTGGTGTGTCTGTACCCATGTGTGGTGTGCCTGCAACCATGTGTGATTTGGCAACACCGATGGAGCCCTTTAGAGGAAGTTTGGGTTTTGGAGGTTCTCCCGTGTCGGCTTATAGAGGCGACAGCCCACACAGTCACACAAGCCGGCCCAAAGCAATCGGGATGTTAATTACTAATAGTTGATGTGCTTCGAATGTGCTGATTAAATCTACATGCTAAACCATAATGTGTTAATTGCATACAGTTAATTGTAATTGTGTTCATTAAGTGTCACATTGTATTGTGTATTTGTTTCAATAATTATTACGTACATTCTACAGTACCACGTGAATGCTGGAAACTTTGCTCATTAAAAAGTCAAAGTATTTAATCACTTTGATTCTTCACCATCATTGTACACGGGGCACACGGCACGAATGCAAGAAGTAGCAGATGACAGTATAGCAAGTAGGTTGAATACCAATCTGTAGACATTGTAAGTATTGTCCACTCGTTCGCGTTCGTTTTTTCTCATACTTTCTGGTTCTGTTTCATACTTAATAATAATAATTAATTGTCCAAACACAGCATGCAGGCCCATCCTGAAAAAGCCTTGAAACTCGGGAGTCTTTGCAGGTTGAAGGAGCGTCATTATTAAAAGCTAATGACTGCAAACCCAGTCACCATTATCTATACAAAACGCAACTGTGTACATTTGCTTTCGCATGTAATGTACCCTTGGTGCTCATCCACTTGGGTGTGTTTTGTGGCGAGCGCGCGGCCTGGAAGTTCCGTAGGATATCCACGAGGAGGGCTCAATTGCTCCCTAGTGTGGAGTGCCTCTGCTGTGCACATCGTGCGAAGGGACTTCCTCTGCGCCGAGGTGCTGAGAGAGCAGCTTGGATATATAATTGGAGAAAATTGCTAACGTGGTTTATATGTTTGGGTGGTTCGGGTGGGGAAGGGGTAAAACACAATTACGATTGCTGTGCCAGGAGAGTTAACTTAGAGTCAAGCCATGTTGCAATCATGCAGTAGGACAGGACGAGAATCAGCTTTATGGACCTGTAAACCTGGAGATCTGAGTTTGATTCCAGGTCGCTGCTAACCACTTTCACTAACTCTCACTGACCAGCGTGGTGAAGTTTTAGCCAAACAACCGCCGTGACTGGCACGGCGTGGGGAGGTTCTCGTACTGGAGTCGTTTGGCACATTGCTGTGACATGATAATGTCAAGCCACGTGGGAATATTGTATATATACCTTGTAGGTCAGACCTGATGTTAAGATAATTATGATTATGAATCCACTACTAAAATGCATTTCACACACGTACATTAAACGATTAATTATCCGCTTGTCAGCCAACGTATTATTACACGCTTTTATTTAACTCACTCTTTTGTTGTTGTCGTATCCTCAAATCTTGTAACTCAATTTGAACCCACTTCCCAATGTGATATCGACTGCAAACTTGGTATACTTATGTCATATTGATGACAATACTATATTCTATAAAACATGTATATATTGTTAAACATTTTTTTTATATGTTATGTTTCGGCTTGGGTCTAATTGTCCACGCTCAACTAACGTTGGCTGTAATTGTCCACGGCCCCTTACATTGTGGCAAGCTTCGGAGCCACTTCCTAGAGTCGTAGAGTTCTGCCATTACTCGTACGGTACATTTCATTAAAGCGTGTTTTAAAAAAAGTATTTTTTAAATATTACTTATTGATTGAATAATCTTCTTAGAAATGTACAAAGTGCCTTTCTGTACAAGGCACCCCAGTTATTGTGGTTAATTGAGAATGCTCTGCACATGAGCTGTGCCGATGGCTGAGCGCCGGCGCTGTAGCAGAGTGCTCGACTCACAAGCAGTGGTTGTCACATGGATGAACTTGTTCTCTCCGTAGGAATGTGGAATTTCCACCACGGACTCAGAGCAATGAGTACTTTCACACTAATTTGAGCAGCAAGACACGATGTGTTTTGACCTTTCAAAGTGAGATGGTTCTCCCTTGAGAGAGACTGGACAGACCGACAACTACTGGACATCTGTGAAAAAGAGCTTTATAGCTCATTGGATTTCTCCAGAATAATTAAATATTCTGATAATGTATGTATGTATGTTGAACTTATTTCGCACCTTACGCAGCGAACCATTGCTAATTGGAGGTGCGTGGGAAGGAGAACAAACTAAACGCTAAAACCTGCGGCTGCTGTTTCGTTTCTATTTCTGCAGGCTTCAGGTTCCTCCGGGCGCTGCGCCTCATTCAGTTCTCCGAGATTCTGCAGTTCCTCAACGTTCTCAAGACCAGGTGCAGCACGGGGCCCACGAGGGACTCACTGCCCCGTGCACACAGTTCTCTATTTCATCACCGCCTTATCATTATTATCATTGGCATCGTGTCACGAGATGAATACACCTCCATTGGGAACTTCCACAGCGAGCAGGGCATAACATCGTGCCAGGGAACACCTCTCAGAAGGTGATGTCACGAGAATATTTCTCAACTCACATCAATTGGCTTATAATTTAATTCAAGATAATGGACTCGTGTTACATCCTGTTTTGAGCATTTGCCACACTTTAATCCAACCGAAATGTGCCATCCTCGGAGCTGGAATATGCTAAATCAAGTGATGGACCACGTGTCTATTTCATTTGTAGCCCCAGGTGAGCAGGCTGAGAGCATCGGCTGACTACACTTGAGGACCCGGTTTAATCACTGGAGAGGGCCCAGGGTTCAAACCCAGAATGTCAGTGATGCCGGCTCAGTGCTTTGATAGAGACATATTCCTTATTAGCTCAGCCACTTGCACATGATTTTATCTTGGGGAGAAGTTTATCTGCAGCTGAGAATGGCTGGGTTAGGGTTAAAGGTGACCCACGTGCCCCAGGTTGCAAGGAGCATTGAGGTGTTTAAAGAAATAATCAATAATGTACATCAATATAAATCATCATGATTGTGTGTGATGGATGCTTAATTATTGACGGTGATATGATTTGGAGTGGGCAGGAAGCCCCAAAGGATGTCAATGTAAACATTGGTGTACTGGTTTTAAAATGATCTTTTATCAGCAATCAAAACAATATCAGATTGTCAGAGAAAGGCCTCACAAGACGACAGCACAGAACTACCTCATAATAGTACATCTCTTGCCCATAAAGTGTGGTTTACCTAATGTCAGTCATTATATACATACCACTATTTATTTATAATTGATCCCCCAAGACCATGGTCTTGGCTTAAAGGAGTAAATAACCCAGTACGTATGACTAATGCGTGACTGGGATAAGAGCATTGAGTCACCGCAATTGAAGGCCCTCTTTAATTGTGGGCTGATACCTAGCTTCAAAATAACGATTTAATTCATGTTTTTTCAATGGCTTGAATTGGGGGTCTGGGCACCCAGCCCATTTCCCATTACAATGCTGTTTTCCGAGCCTTGTATATCCCGTCTGCATTGAGGTCACCATAGGTCATGAAGACAGCACTGTGTTTTGAAAATCCCGTCACAGCTTTAGGTTCAACCCAGATCAGATCGCGGCCAAATTGCCCAGTGCATGTACGCTGTGACAGCTGCTGCCTTTTGTTTCTTCTATCCACATCATCATCATTGCCATCATCAGCCATGATCAATCCACTTCTGGATGAAGGCTTCCCCATACCGTCGCTATCTCTCACGATCCTGAGATATAAGAATCTGCCTAGCACCTCCGATTAGCACGGTTGGCTACTTATGGTGTAAAAGAATCTTGATTTGAAGCTTTCGTGACTGCAGGAATCCATACTCTTTGGTTCCTTCGGTAAAGTCACGTAGGTAGAAAAATAATAGATCGCAACGTTTCGATCGCAACACAAGCAATCGTCATCAGGTGGGACAACCACATCTACTTCAGCAGTTTTTTCTCGCTGTGGTTGTCTCACCTGATGACGATTGCTTGTGTTGCGATCGGAACGTCGTGATCTGTTATTTTTCTACCTACGTGACTTTACCGAAAGAACCAAAGAGTATGGTGTAAAATAAGTAAAAAATACATTAATTCAATGTCTGATTTCGTCATTGCCCCATCTTCTTGGCTACCGCTCTGTAATATTTATTGACAGTTGATCATCATCCCCTTTGTCGATGTGTCCTGCCAAAGCCCACGCACTTTTCTTGATAGATTGAATGATGTCTTTAACTTGGGGATGTTCTCTAATCCAAGCGTTCATCATTCTCCGTAACAATGTCTTTTTAGAGCAAGCATCTCCCCCATGCTTCTTTTCGCACTTTTTGTTTCAGTTTTCTTTGTTAATGTTCACTAATCCGGTCCACATGTCATAGCAGGTAGGACACATCGATGCGCTATCAGTATTGCATTAACACAAATGCGTTAAGAATGGATTTTTATTTATAAAAAAAAATCCTCAAAATCTGAATAACTGTGTCATCTAATTAGGCTTATTAAATAGGCGTGCTCACCTCACAGCAACAACCAAACAGATTTAAGCGAAATATTGACCAGCACAAATGTGTTCATTAATTACCAGCACAGGCTCGCATATTCATGAGCAGTCAGATTGAATAATGCATATGTTCATCATTGACCCAGATAATTTTGAATATAATTTGAATAAATTAACTTGCAATGGTTAATAGCTAGTTTAAATCTGATTGTTTTTTGCTGTGACGTCATGACCCTCCTATTTCAGAAGCTATAGCAGGTGACAAGCTGAGTCTGACTTTATGGATCTTTCATGCCGATTTAGTGGATCTTTTCCTAACGGTGCTTGACAGTCTAGAGCGAATCGTTTAAATTGCCATATTGTTATACATGTGATTCTAGATTTGAAGCTTTCGTGACTGCAATGATTCATACTCTTAGGTTTTTTCGGTAAAGTCACGTAGGTAATTTTTTAAATTTATATTATTACTTTTAGTAATTTTTTATTTTATTTTTTACCTACGTGACTTTACCGAAAAAACCTAAGAGTATACACGTGATATTTGTTTGCCAATGTCGGGTGGTGGAGGGTCTTAACGACACAAATTTGGCTTAACCCAAAAATCAACCATGAATCATATTGGCTGCGACAAACTACGTGTTGAGATCAATACAACAAGGGTGATCTGTATTTGTCAAATTACACTGAGATTGATAGTTATTGGGACTTTGTCTGGGACTTGGCACCCAGTGGCACTCGCTATTGAATGTTTCCTTCCGAACAGATGGTGCGCCTTGCTGATAAACTTCCCCTACAATTTACTGGGCAGCTGTGGCACGAGTTGGAACGGTTGTGGAGTCTGGTCTTGTGGCGAGTGCATTAATCACAAGGCTGTAAAGCCACAAATGAGTGAATTCTGACGATGAATATATAATGCCCACCGTGGAAATCAGCGACGACTGAAGATTTCTCTTTCAATAAAGGGCGGGTTTATTATAACTGCACGGACAGTAAAATCAGTAAATAAATACTCTTTGGGTCTTTCAGGTGAAGACGATTTCCTGTGTTGCGATCTAAACGTCGTGATCTATTATTTTTCTATCGACGTGACTTTACCGAAAGACCCAAAGAGTATGAATCCCTGCAGTCACGAAAGCTTTAAATCAACAGTAAAAACAGATCACGTATTCTCTATGGACGTGATGCGTAACTGAATATGCACACACGCTCTTTCACTGCCGCAAACTCTCGCCTTCGCCAATCTGACCACGCAGCCATCCCACCCTCGTTCCCACAAGTTCACCCTGAATTCACCAGCCTCCTGGTGCCTGGAATCTTCCGCTCTCCTCTCATGCTCTCCCGCTTCTCCGTCGGTCCGCCAATTCTCCTCCGCCCTGTGTACCTGCACCACCATCCTCCCACTTCACACCGCTCTCCTGCGACCCCCTCACCCTTTCGGTCCATACCCCTTTCATTATCTTTTACCCTAGCCCAAGGGTCGGTAACCCACGGCTACCGGAGCCGTGGGCGGCTCTTTAAGGACTGTCCTCGTGACGTTATTCATCAAGGACCACCGTCTCGTAATCAAATGCATTGCGGCTCTTGAAATATAGATTTTGTTTTGTTTCACCGAATTCGAAAAGAATGGCTCATCTTGTTATTTTGATTGCCGACTCATGCCTTAGCCCCATTCTCACGATATCACCCATTATCCACGTCCATATCTCTGCATCCATTGGCCCTTCTGGCCATACACTTCACAGGGCTTTCAATTCCCCCTTGTTTTCCACCTCCAGTCCTTGAAGGCAATGTTGCCTTGACGACTCCCTCCATCGTCCCATTGGCCCGCCTACTTCATCGCTGGCCTTCATCTTCTCGGGCACCCTGGTCCCTCCCCAGCTGTCCCTCTATGCCCCCCTTCTAGATCCTTCTGCCTCCGTGCTTTCCCCATTAGACTCCATCCCCTCCGTACTGTCTCCACGGGAGCCCTGTGACTCTACTCATTTGGGTTTGTTACAAATGCAACGCGTAATCTAATGTGAGTATTGTTTTACAAGTGCGCAAAATCATATGACAATACCATGAAACGTAAAATTAATAAGGAATAGAAAACGCATGCGGTATTTAAACATCCATTATTATCCACATACAGGATGCTCTTGAATAGGTGTAAGACTCGGTGAGCTTTCCTCGATAATAAATGGTGTGGTAATAATGTTCTGATGATGACCAAATTATCTGGAATTTGCCCAATCTTATCAGATCTCAGAAGCTAAGGCTGAGCCTGGATAACGCTTGACTGGCAAACAACATGCAAACCCAGGTGGTATAAGCTGCTGGGATACATGCGTGGCAAGCAGAGGGCAATGCATCGAACTACTGTATATTGTTGTACCGTACATAGCTCTATGCTCCCACATCTCTGCTCCCCACCTTCACGAACCAACTCGCTCTGATCAGCATGACAGAGAATTGTCAAGTAACCCCCCAGCAGTCGACTGACAAAAAGGTTGTACATTTACATGATTGTTATCTAATGGTTGTGTGTGTGTGTGTGTTTTAATATCTTTCAGTAATTCCATCAAGCTGGTAAACCTGCTCTCAATCTTCATCAGCACCTGGCTCACTGCGTCGGGATTTATCCACCTGGTGAGTCGGCTCCACGCCAGGGTAGAGTAGTCATTTGTCTGCCTCCTATGCCTCCCACCTGCCAGGTCTGAACTGGCACACGTGTTGTACCTGCCAGGTCTGAACTGACACACGTGTTGCACCTGCCAGGTCTGAAGTGGCACGCGTGTTGCACCTGCCAGGTCTGAACTGACACACGTGTTGCACCTGCCAGGTCTGAAGTGGCACGCGTGTTGTCCACTTTCAGTATTTATTTGTGTTATATTAATGTGCTCTAATACACTCTTGTCTGGCCGCGAAGTGGTTAACGCACCTATGTGTTCTCATTCTCGTTGGAGATTAATTATACCAACCTGAACTACTTAACTAAAATTACACTTTTTTAATTTTAGCAGGTAAGGCCCACTGAGCTATGTAGCTCCTTTTCAAAAGTGACCTGGCCACAAATGATAGCTCAATGAAGTGGCTTATCATGTGAAAGTTTATAGCAGTCAAATATTCTAGGACCCGGAGAAAAGTCATGACACTGGGAGTCCACGCGACCACGGGGAGAACGAACTCCAAATATACAGGCATTAGGGTCGTGCTTGAACCCACAACTTCCTGTATACAAGACGAGGGAGTTAACATCTGCGCAGCCTGTTAACTTTTTCTTTGTTCACCTGCACTTTTCATAATTCTGCATACATCCCAAATCGCAAAAATGTTTTACGATTGTTAATAATTTATAAAGGATAATTATACATGTCGCTACCGTAGCATGAGACACAGTATCACAGCATTTCCTCATGAGTGCTGTGTAATTGGCAGTGTGTGTTTGAGTGCAGAGCCGAACCTATTTTTGCCACCATTAATTTCCACCTCTTTTCTCATACTTTAATTGGAATATGGTAATGATTGAAATGGCTTCATTTCGTGCAATTAAATATCGAGCTAATTTTAAAGTATGAAAATGGAAATGAAAATGTGGCGTTATAGATGTTGTGCTCCATGTTCTAGCATCAACCATCGGTGGGAGGTTGCCGAGCAATCTGTCGTGCGCTGCACCACGTAAGACAAAACAATATGGCATATCCGTTTTACTCATTAAATAACGTTCTTTGTAAATATTTGTTGCTGAGTTATCTAGATGTCGAATTCATTGACATTGATTAATTGGCACTTACATTCTCAATTTTGATGGGTAGTAATATTTTTTACGTTTTCTTGCGCAGACAGGTTCACCGTTGAGTTCACACGAGGGAAATGGCCACGTGACGTTTGAGTGAAATTTACCACTGCGTGGCATCTGCTTTCGTCACGTTGCACTTGATATCTTTTCCAAGAGTTCGCCACCGAGTTCCAATGTCACAACCTCGGCTGCTTCGTCATGAATTATCCAGTGCTTTCGGAAAATGTGAACGTGCGGCCCTGCGTTTTGCTCGCTCACTCGGCTTCTGGCAGAAGGGCCTCCATGAGAGGAAGGTTTTGAACCATTGGCGGCCCTCGAGAATTTATCTTCAGGCCCACCCCCCCTCCATGCCCCCCTCCATGCCCCCCTCCGTCCCTCCTTATGAGACGGCAGAGGAGATATTGACAAGAGGCAGTGGCGTAGCGAGATACAATGAATTTATCCCAAAATAGAGATGTAGTGAGTTGGGAGAAGAGAGATGCAGACAAGATGGAGATGACAGGTGAATTCGCTTTTCGTGTTTATTTTGTTTACTGTTTTAGGATTTGAAATTGGAGCTGATATTTAACGTACCTCTAAATATCATGAATCCAGAGCTTCTTGAGCTTCGTGGGGGGGGGGGGGGGGGGCATGCTTTTGCCATAGTTAGATAATGCTGTACCGGACGATGCCACTGGAATCAAGAATTGCCGTGCCGAGTAATTAACATCCAAAGAACATGTACAGTGTCATAAGCAAGGAGCCCATATACAACTTCAGAAATCTGTGGGATTTCCTGTAAATATCAAGAATCATCGTAATATTATTCCCACTTCAGCCTGGGTTATTATAAAATTTACTTTTAAAAGTCATGTTTTACTTAAGGGACAACTATTGCTGGAAATCCAAGTAATTTACAATCGAACGTAGAATTGATAGCCTCGAAATGCAAAGTACTGCAGTGCATTTTATAAATGAATAAGGGTGTAGAAGAGTATGGGGAGTGGTTATGTAAGGTTAGCGCGCTGCGCTACGAACCCAGCAACCCAAGTCCGTTTCCTGCTCACGGCCAACACCGGTGACGATTATCTGAACCGGTCTTGGGTCTCCCCTAGGTCGACTCAGCCTCAAATGAGTACCTGGTGCAGTGTGTAAACATTGCCACTTGTGAGACAAAGGCGGCCGGGCGTGGTGCTGACCACCCAACCCCACGTGTGCCGTGCCGGCCTTCATAGACGCTCGCTAACAGCACTTGCTAAGGCTACATGGGAGATCTTTGTCTTTGGGTAGGTACATTAAAGAGCTGCTGTTTATTTTAATTGTCATGACACTGGGAGGCTCTTTGTCGCCAGCTTTGCCGCGGCATATTTGATTACACGGGGAAGGAAGGGTGTGGGGCGAGCCGGAGATAAGAGGGCTTCGCTCCATTTCAAACCGACTCCCCTCCTGAGCAACCCCCCCGGGCTTTGTGCCCTCTGCGCGCGAGGCACTCCGCCGGGTGTTTTGCCGTCACCTGACGACGCGGGTGGCTGCCCAGGGGAAGTGAAACGTGACCTGGCAGACAACGGCGCCAGTCTCGGGTTGGAGGGGGTCTTCAGTGGGATACTGCCAGCTAGGGTAACCAACCGCCAGTTACGAGGCAAGTCTGGCTCTCAGAGCCAGCTGCCCGGTCTGAAACGCTCCTGATTTCTCGAACTTCTGCCTTGTTTTTGGGAGTTAGTCCATGGTCTCAGAGTAGATAGTAGGTATTAAGCATGTTATGATATTACAGTACCTTCAGCGGCGTAGTAGCTACATTGTCAGATCAGGGGGTGTGGCAATTGGTCAGGTGGGGCCCCAATATTTGATTTGTCTCGCACAGTCGCACCCCTCGGCTATTATCTTGCATGATCACATCGTTACGCTCACGATCTCGAACATTTAACGCTGTAGGGGGTACTCCGTGTTCAATACGTTTTTGTTCTTTGACACTGTTGTTGTTGTTGAAAACAAATCTCATGGTGGCTGTTAAGGGGGGCCCCCAACTCGTAGTTTTGGCCACCCGGGGGGCCAAGGTACCTCCTGCCTCCACGCTCGTTACACCGCCGTATGCCTCCCTTTTCCAGGCATTCAATGAATGTCACTTTATTTTGCTGTCTCGTTTGTGTTTATAATTATTTGCGTCTCATGTTTGTGCAGTCGTTTTTTCATTTAACCGAACAATAACATTCCATTTACGCATAATACGCATACATTGTGAATAGCTGATTATCACACACATGATCCAACGCATGTATTGTGATTGGAAGAATCAATTTTAATTCATGACTTGATGCAAACATTACCACAATAATATGCATGTAAAAATGCATCTGCTTTGCAATTTAATAATTTGTGATGATTGAGAGTCATGACTTGTTTTCAAATTAAATTTTTTTTGTAAATGTTTTACTGTCTCTCTCATATATTCTGTCTTGTTGGTGCTTGCTCTTTCAACAATTGCAAGCAACGTGCATTAACTGGATATAGGAGGTTAAGTAGATGACACAATTCGATGCGTGTTTTGTGCGCGTAACAATCGGCTTTAATCGATGAATTATAAATGAGTTTCTGAGTTTTGTGTTCCTGGCATTGCATTTCCAGAATGAATAGCTTTATAGGTATTGTGAAACGTGATATGCCTAAACTGTGCTCATTTTGTTGGGCAGGTTGGTGAAGAAGGAGATAGAGTAAGCCATACCTGACGATGCCTCTACCGTGACATCATTAAACTAGATTAGAATGTATTCAAATCAATAGGCCTTGAACTGGCAGGTTGAGTGGCCTGTGAAGTGGAGGAAGCAGGTAGCCACTCCTCCTCTTTGGCTGCCAATATCCGCTGTCCACAAATCCCTCCAATTGTCTTGTCTGTTGACGTTCAAGCTAATGATCTTACTCTTTTCCATCACAGCATGACTCAGGCCTCTCAAAGCCTGATAACCTAACCCACACAGATGACATTAAGTTGCTCATGTCATCAGCAACATCATCATCAGTCACGGTCAATCAACTGCCGAATGAAGGTCTCCCCTAGCTGCCGTGACCTTTCTCAGCTGTGTTCACGGTTCCTTTGGGATGCACGGTTTTGGGGATTTTCCCATAATGCTTTGTGTCTGTTTTAATGTTAGCATACACACAGTCTAGACACACAGTAATATTTTTTTCTTTCAATACAAAGGTCTGTATATGTGTGTCGACAATATTGAGCGTGTTGAAATGCAGCATTGATCCCTAAATTAGAGTTAATTGACTCATACAGTAGCTTAAAAGGTGGCAATTACATGCAACAATTTCAACTTTTGATGTTTTTTTTAACCCATTTTGGCCTTGCTGAGAGTGAAAGAAAGGCAAGTGAAGGGGGCTGGACCTAGTTATATCTAACTTGAACCCATTATGTATTCAGCAACTACGCGTATGCAGTTTGCCTTGGTTTGTATATATCGCTGGGTCATCGCCAAGGGCAACATATTTTTTCGTATTTAATTTGCTGTATCTTGCTTACCGATTCATGCATATGGCACTGAATAAATCATGTGTATACAAAAACAACATCTGGTCTGCTCCACTTCCATCCTAAAACTGTGGAGGGTTCGTTTTTCTTCCATCTCGAGAATATTCGACAATTTTAGATCGCGTTTTATGTGGGCGTCACTGAATGTTGCCCACCGAATTTGAAAGAGATGTTGCATGCTACTGGCCGGCGACTGCGTCTGTAGAAAACTACTGCGTGAAGGTCACAAACACTGACGGGTTTTCATATCCGAGGTCACTCACAGAGCATGGAGGCAAATCATTTATCATTGCTGAAGAAGGCGTTCCCTTGAGGGAACACCGGGGTGAGATCTGATAATGT